TAGTGGTATATGGGTTGATAAGCATTAGTGGTATATGAGTTGTTAAGATATTTTACTCTCAACTCATTAGGCTTCTTACACTACCCAAGTTTCAGAAGGCTTCTGCTTGTAATTATGTGTATGGTCTGGAAACATTAGTGAGTAATGTATTGAGATTCAGTCTTCTGGTTAGATTTTCATAATTTGAGATTTAAGAAATAGCTCAAGCCAGACCCAGAATTACCTGTTGAATCTTCACAAAACTACCATCTCTTTAAATTTGGTTGACATAAAAGTAAAATGATACATATTCTGAAGTCTGCTTGTAAACCAGTGTCAAAATGCTTTTAATTTTGGAAAAATAAAATGTTTTATAGGTCTTTGAAATGCTTCTCAGTGGAGATCCCGCAGTACGCTGGGGTGACAAGTCCTATAATTTGATTTCCTTTGCTAATGGAATATTTGGCTGTTGCTGTGATGTGAGTATCTTGTTACCAGGGTGCACCCCCACACACACACACACTTTAACTTCTTATGTTAACTCGAGGTACACACGGTGCAACTACAAAGACTTGTATCGTACTGTGATGTACTGTAAGTAAACAGTTTTTTAGTTTTATGTTATTATATTAAGTTTTGTTCTGAATTGTCAGGGAAAACAGAACACAGGTTTCTGTTGTAGGCCCACAGTTTGGAGCATGTCTGCAAAAAGGATTTTGAATGTAATTTTTATGCAGAGTAATTTCTTAAAACCTATTGTTATCAAATAGTTTCACCCAGGGAAGAACACACCAACTGATTGCCCAGTAACAAATGGTCATCCCTGACAAAGTAACATTATGTAGACTGATAGGTTATATTTGTAAATACATATGTATATACATACACATATATGCAAATAACAACCATTAATGATAAAAGAGGCCACAAATTTCAAAGATAGCAAGGAGGGGTACACAGGAGGATTTGGAGGGAGGAAAGGGATGGGGGAAATTATGTTATTATATTATAATCTCAAAAGGAAAGGAAAAATATTTTTAAAAATGAGTGAAACAATTGAAAACCTATTTTCCTGCTAAAATTCCCATCCTAACTTGAAAGGTAGCATCTGGCATTAGACAGGTGTTACTGCTTAGAGTAAGGACTGTGTGACTGTTCCCAGAATGGCAGGACGTGTGGACAAGAGAGCAGGAGAGAGCCTGCTGCGTTTACCCTTCACAACACGACTGCTTCCTTGTGCTCTTGTATCGCTCCCATGGACTTGACCAGCTCTGGCTTTGTTTTCCATTCAGGAAATCTGTAAACCAAGGGAATGAAATAGCACAAAGACCCCAAACCTCAGGCTTGCGGTGGGCTTCTGTCTGTCTTAGTGGTGTGGAGAGTGAAGAGAGGGTTCTGTGTGCATGTTAGGGAAGTGATCTACTCTGAGCTACAGCCCTGATCTTGTGACAGCGGTTTTTTTAATCATAACTTTATTTTATTTGATGGAACTTAATCTGCCATTAGCTTAAGAAGATGTTGGCATAGTTATATTTTTAGATGTGGATAAAACATGCATAAAGTATCTAAATATTTTCATTATAAAAATATTTCCTCAGTTTTGCAGCTGGAGCTACTTCTCAGGTGCAGTGCTCTGTGTGGTTATTGTAGTTACAGATTTAGGATCATTGCAGCTCTCCTCGCTCTGTGACTAGCCAACATGTTCCAGTGGCTCCAGAAGAGGTCCTGAAGTAGTTCTCACTGCTTATTATTGGCTTGTGTGAAACATAGTCCTTGGGAGTTGAGTGTGCTGTCATTAGCCTGGCCTAGGCCACTGTCTAATCTTGGAACATTGTGGGCAGCTCAGTCTCCTTCAACTTAATACAAGGCTATGGTGGTCACTAAAGCATAGTGAAGTAGCTGTTATTCCAGAAGCAGGTGGAGACAAAGCTAGCACAGCCCATCTTTCCCACAGCACTTAACATTATGACTTATTTCTGCAGAATCTAGGCATTCGTGCAGATCTGTGCATACTAGCCCTGCTCTCTCGTTCTTACTTAGTGGGCCTCTCTTAGCCAGAGATATTCATAATTGCCATAGTCCGGTGTCCTCACCTGATAACTACACTGTATTTATAATTCCATAATATTTTCATAAGACACAGGGTGCACCTGCTCCAACTCCCAGTAATTTCTTTGGATTGGATTGTGGTTACAGCCAAAAACACCAAGAGCCCTACTGTGTGCTTTCGTTTTTGAATACTTGCTCTTTTTTTTTTTTTTGTCTTGAAAAATCAGCAGTTCCTATTTTGTAGGACAGAATTGTATCATTAGGAAGTCAGATACTGGAAGGCAGACATACCTACCTTATCAATTAAAAGTAAAGAGAGTGAAAACTCCTAGATTTTAATTTGACACAAACTACTCAAAATCTTGTGTTTTCATTTTAGCACGCGCCTTATGATGCCATGGTTATGGTGAACATTGCACATTATGTTGATGAGAGACTGTTAGAGACGGAAGGAAGGTGGAAGGGATCAGAAAAAGTCCGGGATATACCATTGCCAGAGGAGCTGGCTTTCACCGTGGATGAGAAAGTACTGAATGATGTCTCCCAAGCCAAAGCCCAACACCTCAAAGCGGTAGGTTTTTAATTTTTCTTTTAAATTAGTAGTGTTTTTTTTCTGTTAGCTGACATACATGAAAATGTGGTTATTACTAAAACATAGCTTCATAAAATATCTTAAAATTATAACCTTAATACCTTTAGTTCTTTGTGTTTGATGATTAATGCAAATAATAATTTGATTCCCTTTGAACTTTGAGTTTCACCTTCCTGTGATTTTTCACTGCTTCTTGATTGTCTGTCAGGCATCTGATCTGCAGATAGCAGCATCTCCCTTCACATCTTTTGGCAAAAAGCTCACGAAGAAGGAGGCCCTCCATCCTGATACCTTTATTCAGCTTGCTCTTCAGCTCGCCTATTACAGACTTCACGGACGGTAAACCATTTTCCTGGTCCATATCTTGCCGTTACGTGGCCACTGCTTCCCAACTTCATAGTGGATTTTCTCACCCGTTCTTTCTTTGGGGTCTCATCAGTTTAGTAAAGCCCAGTCCGTGACAGCTGTGTATGCTTTTCTGTTGACTCTTTGTCCTGATCATTTGAAGGGTCTACGCTCTTAAGAATGCTTTACCATGTGAAACCACTGTGCACTCGTGTTCTGTAGCATATCATTTGCCCTCTTCAAAGTGTCCTTTGACCCACACAGTTACATTTTGATGAGAGCCAATGTATTTTCTTTTTCTTTTGTTGCTTATAAACAGAATCAAACAAATCCAAAGCACTGAAGATTTTCCCATTTTTTTTTTAAGATTTTAAAATTGTTAGTTCTTTTTGTAGATCTATAAGCCACTTGAGTTCATGTTTTTATATGTTGTAAGGAAAGACTCTATATTAGGATTCTTCATGGAATCAACCTAATGTGTGTATGTCCGTGCAGTTGAGGGCGGGTATTTAAGGGATGAAGTTTATTATGGAAATTGGCTTACATAATTACAGAGTCAGTGAGGACCCATGAGCTGCCAACCAGAGAAGCAGCAAGATGCTGCTGGGATTCCGTAAGTGTACATTCTTGACAAGAAAGTCAGGTGACATACAGTCCTAAGTCCCAGTCCAGTTCTGAAGGCCCAAGGGACCAGGAGCTCCAGTGTCCGAGGGCAGAGATAAACACTCCAGCTCAGATGGTGACTTTTCCGTCCATGGATGCATTTTTTTCTGTACACGATTTTTTTTTTTACTAGATTAAATAATGCTCACCCACACAGTGGGGGCAAACATTTTCTTCTCTGTATAGCCCATGGATACAAATGCTAATGTTGTCTGTAAACACCCTCCCTTTCTGGGCATGTGTCTTCCAAGGAAGTTAATACATGACATTAACTTCATGTCTTTCCCAGTGGCCCTCCAGCTCCCTCTCACTGTGAGGACACGGCTTTCTCCAGTGGAATGTTCTTGGTTCCTCTTCTGAAAGTCTGTTGACTGGAGGTGGGACACCTTGTTCTCAGCTCTCTTCACGTGTCTTTCTTATTTTCTTTTTTTTTAAAATTGGTTGCTTTGTTTTAAACTGAAAGGTGATTTGTTCAGTATTTCCTTCTTTATGAGATTATTCTATTTTGGATTTCTTGAAATTGTATGTGAATTTTAGAATGAATTTTCCTAACTCTTCAAAGGACAGTAGTATTGAGATTTGTGTTGGGTCTTTAAGGCTCTTAATTGTACTGCCGTCTGAATGTAGATTAAAGCCTTCATTTTTTTTTCTACCAGTATTTAGTTTGCAGTATCCATTCCTGTTTATTTCCTAAAATTTAATCTTGACTATTTTACTTGTTTTCAACACTTGTGTAAATGGATTGGTTTTCTAAATTTCTGTTTATCACAAGTGTGTAGAAGAAATATAGCTGATTTTTGCCTCTTGATTTTATATCCTGAAATATCATGGTCTTAGCTCTTACCATTTTTAAAACAAAACTTTTTGGGTTTCCTCTTGATTTTATATCCTAAAATATCATGGTCTTAGCTCTTACCATTTTTAAAACAAAACTTTTTGGGTTTTCTAAATGTGAAGTCATGTGATCTATGAGGAGTATTGGTTTTCTTGATTTCCAGCTTGGGTGCTTGCCTATTTTTTCTCATGCTGTAGTGTGGATGGAGATGCAGAAGTGGACATTCTCTCCTGTGTTAGCTGGGCTCTCATAGAAACCCTTATGATGTTGAGGAACTGGCTTTCTGGTCTGTGTTACTGAGTTTTGATTGTGAATACATTTGTCAAATGCTTTTCTGTGTGGACTGAGATGTGTGGACGGGCCTCCTAGTGATCTTGGCTACGTCTCTCCTGGCTCCTTGTTGTGGTTAATGCTGGTGTTTTACCTGCCGCTGATAGTACTGGAAGCCCTGTTCAGCTTCTCTGCCTTACCAATAACTCCCTGTTCACCCTGCATCGAATTCCTTGGGCAGAGGAAAGTAGTATTAAACAACTTATCGAATTTAAACTATTTATCTTGTGTCCACATTGGCAAATGCTGGCTTTCTTGACAGTTTTGCAAAGCCTGGAGCAACCTTTAAGAAAAAAACAACCTTCCTTACTTCTGGCTTCTGTAAGCCTGGCCTGCTGCAAATGAGTTCTTTACAGCCAGCAATGGAAATGTGGGGCAGCATGCATGGATAAGCTCCATGTGTTGTACTCGATCGATCTGTCTTCCAATATTTAAGCGGAAGCATTCCACTCCCTGTCTTTCTCTTATTGCATTTTAGTTAATGAGGAAACTGATGAATTTCTGTGTAGTTTTGTGTAGTTTCCTGAATCCCCAATGTTTTCTAGTGTGAGGCTCTTTCTCTTCAGTTTTTAACTGTCTCAGCCACTCCCCAGCACCAGTCCCACCACGGTAGTTGGCTTTTTTCAGAGCAAGAAAGTAAAAAGGACACCTCTGTAACCTAACAGCCCTTGTCTCTGCATTAAATGCAAGTCACTAACTCCAATCCACAGTCACAATGTGCCAGAGCAGGAATAGCAAGAAGCATCAGCCACTGGAGACCTTCTTGGAGAATGCCTGTCACAGCCTGCAGTGCCTACAGCCTGAAAGCAGCCGAGCCTGAGAAAATAACCTGTGTTAGCTGGGTGGTGGGGTGGCGGCGGCAGCACACTCCTTCAATTCAGGCACTCAGGAGGTAGAGGCAGGCACATCTCTGTGAGTTCCTGGCTGGCCTGGTGTTCCAAGAGACAAGTTCCAAGACAACCAGGGATGTTGTACAGAGAAACCATGTCTTAAAAAAAGAAAAAAAGAAAAGAAAAGAAAAAAATAGTTGATGTTATCAGACTGTTTTCTTACTCTTTGGTTTTGAAAACAGCCTTTGTTGAAAGTCTGGCTTTTAGACTGACTTGTAGTCTTGGTCTGTGATCAGAAAATTGTCTTCTTATGTGACTATATTTGTAATAACATTAGAAACTTCTGATACTCTTAAAACTACTTTAGCCCCGGTTGCTGCTATGAAACAGCTATGACAAGATACTTCTACCATGGCCGGACAGAGACTGTGCGGTCGTGTACAGTAGAGGCCGTCCGGTGGTGCCAGGCCATGCAGGATCCCTCAGCCAGTGTGAGTATTGGACAGACAGACCGACAGAACTGGCCTCTGATGGCCGTTGTGCTTCTGTTCCCCTGGATTATCTTAAGGCATTTTCCTACAGTTTGCAGAGTAGTAATTTGCCACTGACACATGTGCCTAAGAGGATGAGGCAGCAGATCTGCACAGCTCGCTGGTGTCCGTTTCTAAGGCAGACGTCTTCAGTACTGAGATTTTCATCAGTGTTCATCTACCTTTCGACCAGCGTCAGTGCAAAGTAGGACTTTGCAAAGACCTTTAGAAGAATGCTTTCCTCACGTAGCCAGATGTCTAGTTCTTGTTTGAAGTCACGAGCACTAGAACTGGTGTATGTGTTTAGTTTTGAATACTTGTAAGTATTTAGACAACAGTGTGTTTCTTCCCTGTTATTTTGAAATCTTGCCTGTTTTAGTTTGGAAAGACATGATTATGTTAGTTTTTAACAGGGATTATTTTTGTAGTTAGTTAAATTTTAATTTTTAAATTTCACTGTTTGTCTATTAATATTACAAGTGTCTCAAAGCAGTCGTCAGCACTGCTCTTGCCAATTTTAGGGAAGAAGACAATGAAAAAAAAAAAATCAAGGCTTACGGGGAAGGCAGGGTGATAGGAGTAAGGAAGGAGAGAAACAAGCATCACAGTTCTACCGACCTCTTACTGCGTCCCAACAACTAGATGAGTCTCTCTTGCTGCTTTGGGCTTCATACAGTTTGGTATTGAGTTGATTTATAGGTTTGTTTTGAAAATTAACTGTTTTCCTTTGTGATACAGCTCCTTGAACGTCAGCAAAAGATGTTAGAAGCTTTTGCGAAGCATAATAAGATGATGAAAGATTGTTCACATGGAAAAGGTACTTAAGCTTGAGTTCTTCTTGTTTAAAAATTCTTTTATTGGAAACTCTTTTTTCTAATGTCAGGCTTGGGATTTCATTGCAGGATTTGACCGTCACCTTTTAGGTCTTTTGCTCATAGCAAAAGAGGAAGGTCTCCCTGTTCCGGAACTATTTGAGGACCCACTTTTCTCCAGAAGGTAGCTTGGGGTAGTCCATCATGTGCATCACATGGTTCTTTCTCTCTGGATGTCAGAACACGGCATCTGCAGCCTAATGGACATCTTTTCTTTGTGCTACTCAGTGGAGGAGGTGGAAATTTTGTGCTCTCAACAAGTCTGGTTGGTTACTTACGAGTTCAAGGAGTCGTGGTCCCCATGGTACACAATGGGTATGGGTTTTTCTACCACATCAGAGACGACAGGTAAGCCACTCACCTTTACTCTTCAGATATATTAAGAGTTGTGACTTGTTTCTGATTTTAGTATTTTTTCTACACTATGATTTTACTCAAGTTAACTGACATTTGCTACAGGACTAGCCACTTTGCTACCTGAATATTTAACATGTGTTGATATTTCTCTCCTCTACTAGAGATCCTTGTAAAATCACTGTCTAGGGGCTTTTATGCAGAATGACATTTCAGAATATTTCTGTAACATCCTGTGTTACAGTGACATCATTTGTGAAACCTGTACATTTAAAAAAAACATATTTGACCCATACAAGGTATTTTTGGCAAGTTAAAATTGGAAATGTATATAGACCTCCATATTTGCAGGTCTACCTGCAGAGTGATGCTCTCCCCACAACACTAAATTCACATACATATTTACTAAATGGCCCTTCTGCAAACCTAATTGACACTGCTGTCTCTCAGATGAAATACTTGAGGATTTTGTCAATATTTTTTTCATTGTTAAATTTGAAGATTGTATGATTTAAAGTGGTTTGACATAGCACTTTTCTTTAAGTCTGCTATATTCTTTTCTGAAGAAGATATAAAATATGAAAAACAGAAAGTTACTTAACATTTCTATTGCATTGCACAGGACAATCTTTGGATGATACTTCCATTTTGTAATATGTGCACATCATTTTTAGTACTCTAAATCATCAGGCTGTATCCTTTTATCTCATCTTCTCCGATTTCAAGTAGCTCTCACTGCCATTAACTATGCTTTAGATATTATGAATTTGAATAGCATAAGCTTCCATATGAAAGACTTATTCATGTATTAAAGAATCATTTTCAGTCTTCCCTGAGATACATTTCCAGTTTGTTTAATCACTTTGCTATCGTGTTTTCCTACCATTACAAATTAGTATATATGCTAGAGGTATAGTACACCCTTTGTTGTTTCATCATATGATTTCCAATTGTATGTTTTTATGAAGTATTTTACTAGTAGGGGAGACAACAGTAGTATAACTTCAGATCTTTACTGAAACATCTTTTCACTGTTTAATGTCATCTATGTCTCTTTGTGAATTGTCCAGGTACAAAAGGCTGGGTTTTTTTTGTTTTGTTTTGTTGTTTTTTTTTTTGTTTGTTTGTTTTTGCTTTTCAAGACAGGGTTTCTCTGTATAGCCCTGACTGTCCTGGAACTCACTCTGTAGACCAGGCTGGCCTTGAACTCAGAAATCCGCCTGCCTCTGCCTCCCAGGTGCTGGGATTAAAGGCGTGTGCCACCACTGCCCAGCCAAAAGGCTGTTTCTGTCATTCAGAAACGTAACTGAGTCTTTTGAAAAACTAAATTCTTAAATACAAATAATTTTAGAAACTTGTGTGTGTGTGTGTGTGTGTGTGTGTGTGTGTGTGTGGTTTTTTTCAAGACAGGGTTTCTCTGTGTAGTCCTGGCTGTCCCTGAACTCACTCTGTAGACCAGGCTGGCCTCAAACTCTAGAAACTTTTTGCTATTACTAAATATTGGAGAATTTTGTTCACAGTATAGTTGGAAAACAACTCATTGCTCTTGAATTATTAGATAAAAATAAGACACAACTTCAGTATTCCTATGTGTTTCAGTATATGCTAAAAGCACCCAAAGCCAGCTTCCTCTGTCTGACAGTGTAACTGAACTGTAGCTTAACTTCTTAGCATGAAAGAGGCCCAGGTTCATTCTCTAACATTGACCTCCCCAAAAGCTTCATCATTAAATACTAGGACAGAGGGCCAGAGCATGCTTTTATTTCATTTTGCTTGAGCTAAAGCCCATGTTGAAGATGTACTTTGCCATCATTTCCAATGATGTGAAGGTTGCATGGCTGGCCAGAATCTTTACCCTGAACATTTGGCTTTGATATTTATCCATAAACTTCCTTAAAACTCTGCAAGGCTAGTCCACAAAAGGTAGGCACCACATGTTCTGTTGGGAGTCTAGCGAAAGCCAGACTTCTCTCCTATTTACGTGGGCTCCCTGGGGCTCCTTGTTCTTACTTTCTAGTTCTGGAATTGTACCACCCGGGGATCTATTAGGAGGTGGTGGAAGGCAAGACTTGTCTTAGGAGATCACTTTAGCTCATGCTGAAATGCTTTTCTTAGTCTCTTATCTGTCCTTTGTAAAGTGCTTGTTAAGTGGTAAACAGGTCAACTTTTCTTACAAAGAATGATGAGATCATAATCATACTGTAGCCCATTCTAGTAGCAACTTTTAGGAAGAAATGTGGAGTTTGTTTGTTTCTTTGGTTAGTTGGTGGTTGATTAGTATTTGGTTGATGGTTGGTTGGTTGGTAGTTGGTTGGTTGGTTAGTTGGTGATTGGTTGGTTGGTTGGTTAGTTAATGGTTGTTTGGTGATTGTTTGGTGGTTGGTTGGTTGGTTGGTTGGCTGGCTGGTTGGTTGGTTGATCTTTTGGCTGTTTGATTGTTTGTGTTTTTAGACACAAACTTCTGCTCCAAAGGTTGGTTGTGTACTTATGGTTCTCAGACATTGTGTAATCCATTGAGATAAGGATTCCAGTGTGTAAATGTGTTAACTGTGGCTCTGTCTTCCTGTGTCAAGTTACACATACCTAACATCATCAAGAACTCACGTTTTACATTTGAGCTGCCAGGTAGAACCTCCAGCATCACAACTTGGAACCTATGACATAATCGTTCATGTGTTCTGTATTTCACAGGTTTGTGGTGGCATGTACATCTTGGAGGTCATGTCCAGAGACTGACGCAGGAAAGCTAGTTCAGATGATTTTTCATGCTTTCCATGATATGATACAGCTGATGAACACCGCTCATCTTTAGAGACTCAGAGACAGACACAGATCGTAGAAACTCGATACGGAGAGTAGTACGGTGATATGGCATGGAAGGAATGTTGACTTAATGTAGGGATTAGGAGAGCGATGCTCTCTAGATTTGTTCTACCTTAAAGCCTCCTGTGCTGCAACAGCAGTGCAAAGTCAGACATAGTGAATAGAACTATGCAATGTTTAAGCCTCAACAATGCAAATCTGTATATCTTAACAATACAAATTCTACTCTAATGTTAAAGTATTTCTAGGTAGGTTGCAAATCCTCTGTGAACATAATTGTAGAGTCTTTCTCAAGCACTTTAATACTTTCTAATTGCCAGAGGGATAAAGCACATGGTTAGATGCTAATTTCCCTGACAAAAGTGCCTTCCATACCCAGCACAGGAGTACAAGCCTGTGAGATTTCATGGGAAAACCACTGTTGTTCAATAGTGATCTAAACTAGCTCCTTCGAACAGATAAAAGGATCAAGTTGTATTAGAAATTTTTGCACTACTACAGAAAAGAATATTAGTAAAACTCATTATGATATGTTGTAATTCATTTTGTGAATATAAAATTAAAGCACTTCCATTTAAACCTAATTGTTAGTGCTAGTGACTTTTTTGGTTGCTGTTGTTTTGTTTTTTTGTGACAGGGTTTCTCTGTGTAACCCTGGCTGTCCTGGAACTCACTCTGTAGACCAGGCTGGCCTTGAACTCAGAAATCCGCCTGCCTCTGCCTCCCAGGTGCTGGGATTAAAGGCATACGCTATCACTGCCTGGCCTGAGCTAGTGGCTTTTAAAGAGTTAAATATTAAGTATGATTCTCAGAACTTTACAATTATTTCCCATTGTTATTCAAAATGGTGACTTTGGATTTTCTCTCATTGCTACTCAAAGTGGTATTCTCAAAGAATAAAACATCCAGAATCCTTATAATTTCTCATCTTATGTTCAAAAAAAAATGATTTCTGTTTGCTTTCTTCACATTTTCTGTTATCAGCTAAATATTGTATAATAAATCTCTTAAAACTTAGTGTCTGGGCTGAAGAGGTGGCTCAGAGATTCAGAGCACTGGCTGTTCTTTCAGAGGATCCAGGTTCAGTTCTGTGTGGAAGGTAAGCCTGGAACACTTGGAAAAGACAAGTGTGTGTAGTACAGTTTTTGAAGCGATTGTGAGAACTTTCCAATCATTAGGAAACAAATGGGAAAGCCGACCTTTGGAAGAGGATCTTACATCTTGTAGTGTGTACCCAGGGTGCTGCATATAAAAGCCATCTTTGGAAATGAAGCATTTTAGACTGGACTAAAGGTCAGAACCTCCTGCATATTCCTCTCTGAAATTACATAGTATTCGCTTCTGTTAGCTTCCTCTGACTCCAACTTGGCACAGCAGAATGTGTAAACTGGGAGATGTGGGGTGTTTGTCATCTGAGAGTAGGGACACAATCAGTAATATTTAGAACTGGCCAGTGTTAGGACTTAGATGTTCCCACTTCCCTCAGGGTGCCTATCTATTACAGGGCACAGAAGGACCACTGCTCCCAGCTTGTGTCCTGCCCACAGCTGCCTACTCAGGGAGAACTGAACAAGTCAGTAGTTCCAGCTATTGACCTGATAGGAGGGTGTCCTCAAGGCTGTTGTTTTAAATTTTGTTTTGGTATTGAGTAGGGGGGAGGTAATTTTGTTTTTGAGATTGGGAGGGGAGTTTTGCCTCTCCATGTAGTCCTAGCTGTCTAGGAACTCACTTATGTAGACTAGGTTGGCCTTGGCTCCTGGAGATCCACTTACCATTATCTCCTGAGTACTGGGGTTAAAGGCATGTGCCACCACAGCTTACTCCAAAGCAGTTTTCCTCAGCTGTAGCCAGGGTCCTTTTTTGGACAGTCACTACTACAAAAGGAGCCAAGAACAACTCAGCTCTTGCTGCTGCTGCTGCACCTCACTCAGGTACTTAACTGATACGTAAGTGGAGTGTAGTTGCCACTGCTTTCTGATGTTAGCATGTCTGAGGAGCCTTGACCAGCTTTATTACTCTAGCTGTCCCCTGTTTCTTGCTGCATGCTGCAGCTGAGGTACTCAAAGATGGAGAAAAGACTTAGCTCCAGCCAGCAGTGCCAGCACATCTACCATCCACTCTAGCAGGGCGGGGCAGAACAGTGCCCAGTGCCAGCCAAAGTCCTGGTTATGGATGTGTACTGCCACTTCAGAGAACGCCATGGAACCTCCTGCTACGTTCATAGTTCTTGCTGCCTCTCCATCATGCACTTCAACACAGTGTCTACTGTCAGGATGGGCAAGCATTGCAGAGGGAGGGCTGTGTTTCCTCTTAACGCCACATCCCATCAGCTTCCTTCTGCATCGACCACTGACTAGTCAGAGGAGTGCCTCAGTAGCTTTACCACTGCTGAGGCAGCCAGTACCAGAGCCCCTGGCTAGTGCATCAACTGTGTTAGAGGAAATCCCTCATTGTTCGGAGAGTACACCATTTCCACTGCCAGAGCCAAAACCTGTAGCACACTTCCCTGGACTACTAAGTGTCCCCACTTTCATATGCCCCACAGAGACAATTCCACCAAGGTAAACAACTGTCCTCAAGTCAAACACAACTGAGAAGCCAGATGAGACAACACTACGGTGCCCACCTGGAATTCAAGCCTACACTATAGCAAAGCAGCACCTCAATATCCATTTTCAGAAGTAAGCTGCTAAGGGCAGCCCACGAAGGAGATGCTTCATCTACCGGATGCACAAAGTTCAAAGCAGCTGTGAGAGAGAAAAGAAGGCAATATGCCTCCAAAAGAAAACACCTCTAGGGAAAAATGTAGAGAGACTTACAGGGACAAACTGCCTGGTAAAGAAGTCGAGACTGAGGGATGAAATGGGAGATATTTTGAAAAGCCGCAGTGTGAGCCTGGCTATCGGCGGGGCGTCTGCTTAGCTCAGGCGCTGTGTTCTTCACTAGAAGCGCCGGAGGTCGCACGCTGCAGCTAAACCCGCGAGACACCATTGTGGCCGCTGGCTCTGCCAATCCACCATACTCCCCCAACAAAGCTCAGTTGAGCCCCTGATAGTATTCACCATACTCACAGTACCCAGTAGCATTAAGACTCTTAATGCTTAAAGATTATCCAGTGAATTTATATATATATATATATATATATATATAAATAAATATATATGTAAATATTTAAATATATATTTATAAATATTTAAATATGAATATTTAAATATCTATCTATCTATATATATATACATATATATATTTATATATTTGGAAATGCTCAATTAACAAGATCCTCACACAATTAGAATTGTTACCCAATTATCTAACCTAGATATTATAACTACCTTAGACTGCTAGAGACATATGTCCATCCACAGCCATCATCTCTCCTCTTCTTTCCCTTTCTCCTCCCCTTCCTCTCCTTCTCTCCTCCCAACTCCTCACCCTGCCTACCTCTCATACTGCCTAACCACCAAGCTTTACTGCAAATATAAAGTAGCGGGAAAATATCCTGCTACAGGGAATATACTGAAAATACTTGTCATGAAGCAGAAAAGCCCAAGCTCAGTGCCCATGTAGAAGCCAAACATAGCAGCATGTGCTCCCCAGAGCTGCTGACACCGAGATGCAGAGCCCTGGGGCTTACTGGCCAGCCATCCAAGCATATTTGGTGAGCTCCTGGCTCATAAAGGCCTGGTCTTAAAAAAGAAATACAACCTGAAAACCAGCAAGGAGCAACACCAGAGGTTGACATTGGGCCTCCTGTTAAGTGACTTTTCCTGGAGATGTATAAAAACATGTCTGTACCCTCCAGACAGAGTACTGATGACAGAAAAGCAGTTATACTCAAGTCTAGCATGTTAAGTGAGTGAGTATATTGAGTTCTGGTTTGTTTTTACAAGACTATGGGTAAGGAGTTACTGACAGGCATGAACGTCTGTCTCAAAAGAAGCAGCAGCAGTGAAGAGCCCACCCAGGCATGGGATGGCTCAGGAAGGCTGTGTCCCTGGAACACTCTTTGTGACTTGCTGTGAATCTCAATGACCTAAGTGAATCTGATCAGAGATTCATTTTCCCACAAAAACCATTACTATTTACTTGAACCCAAGGAGGGGCCTTGTGTTCTCTCAAGTGTTGGGAGCTTCCTGAGTTTTCTAAGTTTGTTTACTTTGTCTTTCTTTAGTTCCTGAGTGTTAATGAGCTCCCAAACACACAGCAGAATGTTTTAATGTAATCACTGCACACACCCTGTGCATGTGTGCATACAAATATAGAAGATTTAAAGAAATATTTATAGTGCTCAATGAAGTAATGAGAAAGCACTGATAAACAGTACCATGAAATTTGGAAGACAGTGTAGGGTATGAATGAGAAATTCAGCAAAGAGAGTTCGGAAAAAATAAAGCGTGAAACCTCAAAAGATTCAGTGAGTTAAATAAGAAGGGCCGTAGAAAATGGCCACAGATTAGATCAAGAAGAAGAAACTATCTGAACTTGGAGATAGATTTTTGAAGATGCTTAAGAAGTGGGGGAGTGAAGTTACAAGGAGGAAGAGAGGGAAAAACAATGAATAAAGAATTGGTAAGATTTAAAACATTGGGCGTGGTTGTGAAAGACCCCTCCAAGGGGGGACTCATGAAGGACGCAACCCCCAAAGACACTCCAGAGACCTCTTGCTGTAATAACATGAGTCAGGTTTAATAAACGAAGCTTTGGACCAAAACGTATCTCACGTAGGAGACAAGGGATTCGGCCCTGAGATCTAACAGTTTAGGGTTTTTATAGATAAAGACTTGGGGGAGGGAAAGAGTTGTGGGTAATCGCACACAATTGGTTGTTATAAATGTCTATAATGTGTGTAAGCAGATCTCAGGCAGAGGTTTGACAAATCTCACGAGAATAGTCTCTGGTCCCTGTGGCCTTGGGACCCAGTGTGAATGTTTATCTGAGCCAACAGACCATCTGGCTGAATCTAATTTATAAGTCCTTGGGACCTCTGGTGGGAGTTTTTCTAGAGGAGGCTAAGTCAGACACCGCGGGAACAGATTCCCGGAACACTCAATTGACCTTTGTTTCTCTGCTCTGCAGGCCTTGGGTTAGCAAGCTAGCTGACCTATTATTTTTAACTATTTGTATTCCTGTTATATTATTTAACTAACTTAAAAAATACCTTTTCAGTTGTACAAATACCCACATATTCTAGAATATCCAAAGGTGAAAACAAAAGCTAAAGGCTTAGAGAGACCTATTGAATTAAATCATAACAGAAAATATCCCCAAACTTAGGAAACCTATGACATGCATGTATAGGAGGCATTTAGGAAGCCAAATAGATATGGCCAGAAAAGATGTTCGAGCAAGGCATATTGTACTGAAATTGTCAAAAGTGTAAAACAACAACAACAAATTCCAAAATGTATTAAATTCACTTAAGGATGTATCTGCTGCATTATCGTTTGTCAGCAGAATCCTTTAGCTAGGAGAGAATGGGATAGTGTATTCTAAATCCCAAAAGGGAACGGTCAGCCATGTATTACAGCTCGAGCTTTAGAGCACTAGTCTAGCATGTACTATGTGACACTACTCAGGAAGGGTA